ATATTGCTCAAGTATTTCGTAAATTCTTATCTTTAATCCTCTTTTATTTTATTTATTCATCAGAAAGGACAGAGAACTTGTTGAAATCCGTGAACAGATGGCAAAGATGGAAGAAAGGTACTATCCTTTTTAAAAACGTTTTTTTGTTTACTTGTAAATACAGAAGAACTTGATTTTATTTCTTATAATTATTACTGTTAGGAAAAATACAGAAATTCAAGGACTCAAAAACAAAGTTGAAGAGATGAATACTGCAAAGAATGCAAAAATTGATCAGGTAATATAAGATTTTACTATCTTAATTAAATTCACTGCAGTGTTTTTGTTCATGTAAAACGACTTATAGTTATGAACTATAAATTAATGATATTTATTTATTTGTCTCACGATATTGAAGGTCATTTGTAGGAGAACTGCAACATTTCAACTGCATATTGTGAACTAGCTAGAAAATGTCGCACAAGCCCTATCAATGCATGTAAACATACAGTCCTAGAATATAAAGTTTTAAAATATTAATTAAGGTTTCATTTTGGTTTTAGCAATGCGCACATGTAGCCACACAAACACCAAGGAAAAGGAACATGGTCCAAAGATTATGGAGATGTATCATGGGCAGAGGCCACTAGTAGTTATTTTATAAGAAGAAGAATGTGTTAGGCAGCTCAGGATCTTCATTCTTACTATAACTACAAATTTATTTATTAAAGAGAATACTTGTCTACAATTCTATTCATATTTTCTATAAACAARAAAGTCACAAAATACAACAAAAAAAGTTTACATTTCATGAAGTTGTTTAAAAATATTTAATTAATATATATTTGTAAATAGATGTGCATTGAACAGTTTAATAATATTAAAATGTTTATATATTTTTGTGAGGTATTGTTGTTGTTTACCATAAATTTTGTTTAACACCCTTACTTAAAATTATAACACAGTCAATCTTATATTTTCACCATTATAAGCACTAAAGTAGGTAGTTGAATCAAGTGTCAGGGAGATAGTCCAGGGATAGCCATTTTATAGCTAGGACCAAAAGTTCAGGATGAAGATGTGACCAGTACATAATATTAGAGGTTTCTTATGGGTGTTTATGGGTGAATAAGAGCACCCAGAACTAAAGGAAATTTYAATAAATTAGAGTATCCCTTTTACAGATGTGAATGTGTAGCTCCAGAAACTATTTATACCCCCCTCCCCTCCCCCTCACAAAGAAATTTGGAATTTCCGTGGGGTGGGAGGGGTCAGAGAAAGAACAAGATTCCTGAGTTTCTATGGAAGAAAATTGGAATTTCTAGAGGTGGGGGGATGGGATCTTTAAAAATAATTTCTCCATAGGGGGGGGGGGTATGGATAATTTCTGGAACTACGCATTATATTTCTCTGTGAAGAGCCAGAAACCAGGCTCTTAAAGAAGCATCCTTTTTATATTGGTAGTGCAATAATTAAACCAGAGCAGAGCAATAACCAAGGTAAACACATTCACTCCTTCCCCAGTTTGTCAGCATTTCTATAGATTCTTTCAGCTATAAAGCTCCTTTCAAGCACATGCTGTACATGTATGTGAAAGATTTTAAGGTAGGTTTATAACAGCTATGGTAAGGTAATTCTTAGGTGCATGGGTGGGTATGCTAATTTCAAAGTTAATTCATATTATTATGGCTCAAGCGGATCCTTAAGTAGGAGCAGACCTTTTTCGTATAACATTGTTACCATATCAACCTGCAATAAAGAGGTATTTTTTTACTATGACCATTTGATTATGTATTAACGAGATAAAAAAGCTGAAAAATGGTTGCTAAAATTCATTAAAATTTACCTTAAATTCTGTGCTTTCGTGAGGAAGGTCATCTACCTTGACATAGTCAGGGAAGGCATTGAGGATGCTCTCTATTGCAGGTCCAGCCTGAAATCATGGAAAAATTTCATACTAAATGCTAAAGTAACTACTGCAAACCTCTGAACATAGGCCCTGGATTTACATTTGCCCAACATACCCTTTTTAGTCTAGGAACGATAGAACAAAAATAAAATCACATTATAATAGGGCTTTAATTTTTGCAGAAGGGCTTATTTTCACAGGTTTATGGCATTTTAACATTATGGTTAATGTACAAGATTTTTCGAGACAAAATTTCAGACCTCTTAGCTTAGCAGACTGTGCGCAAACCTGTTTAGGCCATTGCTCATTAAAATACTACTAAATAAATATTATTGACCATTCACAGGTAATTTATTGTACAAAATGCATTGTTCATGGCACATGCATATGCTAGGTACAGTATTTCGAGTCTAATAACAAATTCCATTAAAAACACCCATAATCTAATAACAGTCATGAATACCTCAGGATTAAATTCCAGTTTTTGTGGTTCAACTTCATGGTAGATTCTTGAATTCTCCATTGTATGGTAAACACACACACTGTCTTCCTCACTGACAAGCCTTAAATTTAAACATTTATTATATCCTTATTAATATTTTTTTTACAAACATTAATATTGAGACTTGTAAGCCCAAAGTTGAACAGTACTTTAATGATGCCAGTTCAATGGGACTGAATGCCCTTGCAACCACTACCCCCTCTGCCTCCCCTACCCCCCAGACTTCTCATTACCCAAAAAAAGGTTTTTTCATCCTTTGTTTTAAATTTTGATATGTCCAAATAATTGTAATTTATTTGACTGGTAAGGATTTCCTGGCCAGGCTCTGGAAACTTTTACAATCACTTTTTTTTGTTATACTAGGTAAAATGCAAGAACAGCACCCCGCACCAGATGTCAACAGATCAACTGTCAGCTCTTTGCCGACAGGGCACGTGCTGCTGATCTTGGTTTTTACCCTCTTGTTATCTCACTTGTATCGATCAACTAACCTTGCTATGCCTTTTCTTATTAATCTCACATGGGTTTCACTAGTGATGGTTGCAGTGCTGACAACCTTGTTACCATCCCATGTTGCACCTGACCCGATTATACTCTGGTTTATCTCATCTGAAAAACGATAACAAACCACCTTTTAGCAATACTCTGAAATGACCTCTTGGCTGATACATGAATCTAGACACTAATTAGAATTTTTAAAACTCTGATAAAACACTAGAAGTAAGGGTGAGACCTCCACTGACAATCACTGATGAAGTGTGATCCAAGAGTTCATTTTAATCAAACCTGAGAGGAAAATAACTATTAAGTTAACTTACCTTTATTGAGAACTGGTGGAAGGCAATCAGAAATAACTCCAATTGCCATCTGAAAAAATAAAGAAACCTTATCACATAAAGATTAGAGCTTTTCAAATACATGGAAAAATGGAATTCTCGGACTGATCATTTGATTTAGATCAACTAACTGCAGCTGTTGTAAATAAAAAAACAAGAGTCAATTAATATACTTTCTTGCATCGAAAGACAAACAAAAAATCCAAACGTACCTGGTCTGCAGCAGCATCGACAGGAGAATAGGTTACCAGTTTTGACATGAGTTTTTCAACTTTACGCAAGAATTCTGACCTCTCCTTGGTAATCTACAAGAGTCAAAACATTGCAAATCAAATTAGGAAAAAAATAACAGTATTAGTAATAATCTTATAGGACATGATAAATGCTGTTCATGGAAATGTGAATGCTGCTTGCAAGTTAATCAGTAATGCAACCTGTACTGGTCATTTATAAAACATAGTTAATACATGTATATAAGATATTATTATCTTTCACTTTATAAAATATTTGAGTTATAACATGAGCGCTGATTGGCTGACTACAGTGATTATATCAGAGGACAGAGACACTCTTGCACAAAATTGTTCAAAATTTTTTATTACCCGTAAAGCAATTATAAACAGATTGCTGATATCTCTGTGCTGTGATATAAACACTCTGGGAGCTCCAGAGCACTCCAGAAGCAAGACAAACACTCGGCTACGCCTTGTGTTCCTAAGCTTGCTTCTCTCTTCATCTATAGCTCACAGCATGTACAGAGACATGCATGCATGTTTCATACTCCTTAAATATAAGAGCTTACAGTATCTGAGTTAGCAACACCAATATAGTCCAGGTAGTTAAGCGGCAATCCTTGCCTAAATTCTGGGTCTTCATCAAATGCGGCTTGGAGAGCAGCAGGGACAAGCTGAAATTCATTTAACAACATTGTCAGAAGGTTGAGAATAGGAAATGCATTAAATCCATAGTGCTTTACTTACTTTTTGAAAAAAGTCTCCCCAAGAGTTCTTTTGATATGTGGACAAGGTGATATGAAGAGAATGGCTGTCACTTGGTGTATCAGCCTAAAAATTGATAATGATATCATCAACAATTCTTACTGCAAGTGCTTTCCAACCTTATAAAAATAACCTTATATCAAACCTTTCTGTGAAGTGAAACTGCCTCCTGATTGGCCCAGCTGATGGGTACCCGACTATTATATTGGTTGTGGGTTAAACCCCTAAACAAACCAACACTCTAAGGTCTAAAAATAGTGACCTTTGTCATGGATGACTATGTAAAATGGCAGTCATTTAAGTACCTACCATGCAGAGACAAAACATGGATGGCCACAAGCTTATCAGTGCTAAGTTGTGACTGTCACATGTCACCCTCTCTATTAATGAAGTTTCATGATTGCTATTTATTATCAATTAAAAAAGGTATAGGTTGCAAACCATGTAAAGATACCTGATGAATGGTGCCTCTGGGGAAATAGACCACATCCCCGGGTTCAAGGACTGTGTCAAGTATGGGTTCACCTATTTCATCTTGGCTGAAATTTCCTAATCAAAAGAACATTACACAAATACAGTTTCTTGCTTGATATTAATCCTGAGCAGCAAATCATAGAGACAAAAACCTCGTACTTACCACTTGAATATCTTGGCAGTGATTCTTCTTCAGATCTTTATAAAAAGAATTCAAAATTAAAGTGTTTTAAATTCAAGTAATCAGCATGAGTTTTTCATACAAAATCTATTATCTTCAGCACATTAGATCATATATATTATGTATTTTGCACTATAGAAATATCAAAATTATTAAAATAATTATACAGCTTCTCATTAATCCCATATAGGTAACTGTCCAATTATATTCTTAATTGGACAGGTCTTGTTGATATGGGATTAATTAGGCAGCTATATAATTAATAGGTAATAGGATTTCATTCTCCCCAATCAAGAAATAATAAGATCAGTCTACGGCCTCATCCAATTTTCTTCGTCCAATTATTTCTTAATTGGACAGCATGGAGTCCTATTACATATACTTATTTTATTTTTTATTTTTTTATTTGGCTGATCCAGGGGCAGTTACAATTGAGTTCCATGGAACCTCCTTTGTGAATATTAAGATCATGAATATTAAGATCCTTTGTCATATTAAGATCATGGCTTGTCCTCAAGATGCAGGAAATAGCATTTCTGGTAACCCCTTGGATTTCCCCCTATGAAATCCTGAAGGGCTACTGTCTCTCCTGTTACCTGGTAATATCTGATTGCCTAAGCTTGTATCAAAGTATAGCTGCAAGAGGTTTATACACACCTTGGATTATAAAGCCTCCAGTGCTTTTTGCCTTCAAGTTGAATGATAAATGCTTCAATGTCGTCATAATGAGGAGCAAAGCCTTGTGATCCTGGTGGCGTCAAATATCTTTCAAGGAAATAATAAGGCAACACTATGGATTAGTATACATGTAGAACTGCCAACATCTGTTAAACCAATCACAGAGCACCAGAATCACTGTATGCTCTCATGGTGCAGCAGCATAAATTTTGCATTCAAGCCTTCTGTTCAATCATTGCAAACATATACATACATATGTATACATGTATAGATCTCATTGACAAGCAACATCMCAACTGTATGGAAACATTTCCTTGTGCTTACATGTTTGCACCAACAAAACATCCAAAGTATTCCTGTAGCAGCGACGTCAGCTTCCAGACAGACTGACTGAATGACTGAGGATTCAGGAGTCTTACAGAACAGTCATTCTAAAATGCATAAAAAAGCTTCATTAATTACAGCCAAGGCTAAAAGATACAGTAGTACATATGTATATCAGGTATAAGGGATTCTAGCTCCCACTCCTTTGTATTTTGCACCCCACTATAGCATGGTATACCATGAAAACCCTTCCCATGGATCAATTATCTACTAAACAATCTAATGTCCTCTGATTGAAAGCCCATCACTGGAACAGATAGACTAGCAAGGAAAAGTTATAATCTTTTACTTGACTAATTCATAATTAATATGGTATATTACCTGATAGAAGTCCCATACTACAGGAGCATAGGCTCTGCCAGAGGGGTTATGTGTCTCTCTCTTGCCGTCTTTATATGTCGTTACATCAACGTTTACAGAAAACCTAATATTATGCTGTGAAATTGATATAGACATAAAAATAATTACTATTTAGAACAATTATAAGAATGATGATAATGCAAATTCTCCTTCTACTAGTCCTCTGACCACATTAGGCCATGCTGCTAGTCCTAGTCTCCCTATATTACCAGGAGGGTGATCAAGTGGCACATGACCTAATTGACCAATCACAATCTGACGATAACAGGCAACAAAAAATATCACAAGAATTTCATAGTCGTCATAAAGAATCATTACTTTCCCCTCATATTCCTTGTCATAACCTCATATACTATATACTACTATCATAACATAACATATCATAACCTCATATACTATATACTATTATGTCCAAACACCAGCCTAGTTTTGATTTTCACCTTAGTAATAATCAATTATACCATTGAAGAGGTTAAATTTTTATGGGGAAAGACAGAGTAGCACGCATATATGTTCTGGAACATATCATACGATATAGAAAAATTAATATCATACCTTTCTTAGTATCTCATCCAATTCTGCTGTACTAAACCAGCCTTCATTATATGCCGGCTGGTGACGTTTGATCAAAAGTGGCTTTCTTTCCCACAATTCACTTGTGTAAAAAAGAAAAAGTATAGTTAAAGACTTGTTATCAATAATATTAAGCAAACTGTGAGTCTTGTCTTGGCATAAACTATATTTTTCAAATCCCTGACCTGTAAATTCTTTAGTAGCCCATATATAAACCTGGTGTAAGCAATCAATAAATTTGATGATTGATCAAAATCAATAATGATCTAAAACAGTGACGGAAAATGGACAGCATTGATTACGATTGGTTATATCTTTGTGATTATCAAATGACTGCCTGATACCAATCAACCTAATTATATCGATTGATATCGATTTAACAATTGCATTTCTGACCATCAATTTCATTGATTGCTAACACCAGGATATAAAGAATGTTGGAATGGAAATTGCAGACTGTTTTTAAGGCCCTGTCCACGTTATGCCGGATAAATTTGAATCAGAATTTTTATTTATCCGGTTAGACTTAGTGTCCTCACTAGTAAAGGCAAATCCAGAACAATTCACCAAAAACGTATTTTTTCGAATACGGTCTCCAAAGTGGAACAATTTGAAAATACCGGCTAGCCGTATTAGTGTGGACGGAGAACATTTCGTATCTGAAATTTTTCGAATACAATGACGTAGTGTTTGTAATGGGAACATGGCAGGAAGGCTTAAAATTCACAGCGGGCTCAATTTCAGCTTCGATGCACATGCTAAGATGTGCAATGAAGCGTTTTTGCCGCCTCTGATTGGAGAAGTGTGGATGCAAAACATCTTATCCATTTTTTTGTGTAGACGGAAAACTTTTTTTTCGGTTTTGGTGTGAAAGTTGTGGATTCAAATTTATCAGGCATTTCTAAATTTAGTGTCCTCCACCCCACCAAGCAGTAGCACCCCTATCCCTATCTGCATACCTGTACAGTATATACGTATTTCAAAATACGGTATAATTACCTAAAAAACTTCTTGGGTTTAACAGGACTTATCAACCACTTCATCAACTTTTCAGCCTCAGTCTCAGCTTGCCCTTCTAACATACTAATGGTACTTCCAATGCTACAAGAACTATAGGTATTAACAGGACGACTGCGAGGTATTGCAGAACTACTAAATGGACCAGCACTAGAGCTAGCGCCATCATTAGTGATCTTCACGTAGCTGGTATTTTCTGATTCACCACGGCTTTTTTTTTTAGGTATTGGGGTTTCAGATTCGCTGTCTTCATTCTCTTTTTCAGTGTCTTTATTAGCAGCACTCGAGGCCATGCTACTTGCACGCTTAGATTTCTTCTTTCCCGACATATGAAGACTGCGTCTCAGTTTGTTCGCCTTGGACAAGATACGATGTCCGTGGGACTTGCTCTCTAATTTTTCTGTAGAGGCATTTTGAGAGCTTTTGCTGATATTTCCCGCCTTTTTGCTTGATCTTCTTTTACTAGCTGAAGTTGTTTTGGGCATGTCTTTGGTGACTATTTCTTCTTGTGTCGACTCTGATTCATCGTCGTTTTTTAAGCCACTTTCAGCATTTTTCGTCGCGTTTTCGCGATAAACATCATACGCAGACCTTCTCTTGTTAGGCAGCATCTGCTATACCTTAAGTAGCTTGTATTTACACAAGAAAATCCTTGTGAAAATAAGAATTAACTTTGCGCGCTAGAAAACTGTTGCCTGATGTTTTGAATAAATTTGATTTACACGTGGAGGAGGTCAGCGGTTTCACAAACATTGATATTGGGCTTCCTGTGCGCATACTGGGCTTCCTGTGCGCATACTGGGCTTCCTGTGCGCATACTGGGCTTCCTGTGCGCATATGTTGGTCCCAAAGCGAAAAGAAGTAGTTCTAAGACTGGATTTTCTCTCTTTTTTCTTCATGAAAGGATTTAAGCAACGAATCCTTTGATAAAGAAAAATCCTCGTAAACCCTTTTTCGATTTTTCTGAGCAGTTGAACCCGGAAATACGACCCAGTTTTAAAAAGCTCTATTGGACTCCCTGTGTGGATCACTGAAGTAAAAACAAGATGGAGGACCGAACGCCTCAACAATGACATCACCAAATTGAGAAAATTTAGCAATTTCGTGAAGCTCTCAGAATGTCTACAAACGTATATCAGTATGATGGAGGTAATAGAAACTCTGCCAAACGCATTCACTTTTTTTCAGTGGGCTATATGGTCTTGCTGTTTGCGTCTTTGTTGATTTTAGAGCCATTGGAAGTCATTCCATATATATTCAAAGATTCCTGGTCGTATTCTATSCACCTTACATTCTTTCTCTACGGTATGGTGAACATTGGGTGCTACTTCTACGCTGTGGTTATGACTGATGTTTCCTGTGGGAAAGTTGTACCAAGTCCGCGACATGGAGTCAAAACTGGTTCCTTCTTTTGTCAATCCTGTCAGCAAAATTCCCCACCCAGAGCACACCACTGTGGGTTGTGTGGATCGTGTATAGAAAGACGTGATCATCACTGTTACTTTATAGCAAACTGCATAGGACAAGCTAATCTGAGTTATTTTATTGCAGTCAACATCTGGGCCGGTATAATAGCAATCTACTCTGTATCCATCAACCTTATCTATCTTAATCACCACATCATACCCTTGTCACCAATCACAGTAGAAGGAATTCTACAACTTGTTCCTGTGGTTACAATTTACAAGTATTGTGTAGGCGGCATAGCATTGTTCCATTTGATTGTTGTCATAGTAACCTGGATGACGTTTGTTCAAATTCTCGTCAGTTTCACATGTAGTGGTTTCCAAGCACGGCTACTAGTCACAGGACAAACTACATATGAGTTCAGTCATCAACTGTTAGCATATGACAAAGGATGGCGTAATAATTATGAAGACATCTGCGGAAAGTACTGGTATATTTTATGGTTGTTCCCAACATGGCCTAGAAAGTCTAGAAAGGTTGACGGCTCAGAGGAAAATGGCTATTATTCTGGAAAGGAAGACGATTACCCCAGGAAAGTCATTTGACCGACAGTAGAAACAATAGACCCTTTATCTTTGACATATTACTTACTCATATCAGGCTGTGCATGATTGACTTTGCATAAGGAAGACACATGAATATAGATATACAATCACTTAAACCACTTTTTTGCCATTACAGAACATGTATCATTCCCTAGAGTATCATTTCTTTGTTTATTTCAGAAGACATATGAATATAGACAACTTAAAAGTTAAAAAAAAACTTTAAAAAGTTACTCAAAAGTTGTCTATATTCATGTCTTCCCAAATAAACAGTCAACTGAAATTGGAAAACATCACACCCAAGGTAAAAAGTTCTTTTGCTGTGATATGTACCTGAAAAAAAAYGGCAAAAATATCAACTTCTTTCCAATTTGACCATGCAATGAGGGCCACAGGTTTGTTAGGCACTGGTTTTTAAGTCCTACCCTTGTTAAACATATGCAATTTATTTATTTAATTTTAAAAAAGTGAGTGCAACAATGGTCAAATGACTGACACAAGATTTTCCTATTTTGTTTTATTCAGTAAATATATTACTAACACTTTTACTTTGCACATATCATTGTAGTCAATGTTCAATATATTAATGTCATTCAATCATACCGTTATGTACTTATTCAGCAATAGACCATTTCACAGATCCCACAGCTCAACCTCAGCCTCTTCAGCATGTAATATATACAGTCAATTCAAAAAA